CCCGGACGCACCAGCGGGCCACGCTGTCTCTGTCGGGGCTGCAGCAACCCCGGGACCTCCCTCTCCAGGCGCAGCTTCCGGATCCGGATTACCTGTTCCGTTCGCGAGAAGCGGTAATCGGGTCTGACCGTTTTCTGTACGGCTAGAGGCGCGCTTGGAAAAAGGAGTGGCTTCGCACTGACATTCCCGAAATGAATCGGATCGGTAGGAGGCAAAAAGAGCAGATACTCTGCTGCCCAATTTTTTTGGCCTTTCAAATGACTTTCATTGTAGACAATGGGCAACAAGCTAGGATAGTAAGTTTTCTTACTATCCTAGCTTGTTAGCCATACGGTACGTGTATCAATAAGACCTGAAAGACCAGGTTGGGAACAGAGCATGGTAAAAGTTGACAATGACTTGATAGCACGTAATCAATCACGTGTATAGATACGCTCCGGGAGACCAAAGATGACTGGCAACCGGAGAACTAGAGGGAAGATTCCCTGCCTGCGCCTTCCGGAAAGCAGTCAGCTCCCTCAAAATTCACATTTCTCTCCTTGTCTGCTCATCTTCACCCCACAGCAATACAATAATGTTCTACATAAGCTATATCTGTGAAATTTTTAGCACATAGCACGTGCATGTGACAAGCTTGGTAGATTGCTTAGTCATTATTTGTAGAAGGATATAAAATAATTAGGATCTGGCTGATGTCTGAGCAATCGGCAGTAACTCAATAAAAGTTTTTATTACCAGTCATTTAATAACTGTTACAAAATGACTTTTAAAATAATTAAAATTAAGAAGTTTTATTTCCTTGTTTGCGGGGACAAGAGGACTTCTGTATTTTGCTTCGACACTGGAAATGAATTTCTAGATTCAGGGTGTGTTTAAGCGCATTTAATTCTAAGCACAATTTCCATCTGACTGGATAATAAATCTTTTCATACTGATTTTAAAAGCTCAATAGATAGTGTCTGGAAACCATCCTCTACAATATCATAAACACACTGTAAATTTTATTTTGTAGTCAATACATTCTTGTGTGCAAAATGTAACGTGAAGTGATCCTTATAATAAACTGTTTTAAAAATACTGTTTTGAATTAGACTGCTTGTAAATACAATTGGCAACATAGATGGCAAATTTTCCTTTGATAAGCACACAAAGATTGCACAAAGTGCACATTTTTAAAAATGAATACCAGATACTGTCATGAGTTCAGCATTCCCCATGTTCAAAGAATACTGTTTGTCAGGAATGCTGAAATAAATTTTCTTCAAAACATGATTGTAAATTCTGCATTCAAAGCAGTGCATGTTCTACAGCATCTCTGAAAGTAGCTGTTTTTACCCAGAAAAGCATTACTGATTTTATAAGAAGAAATAGTACTAATATAAGAATAGAAAAGGATTTTTTTTGCAGTTGGGAGCATAAGTGAGCTCTGGCTATTCCATTCACAGCATTAAACAGGAGTGAGGAAGGAACTTGCACTTGGCATCAGAAGTAGTACCTAACAGGCAGCTTAAACACTTTATGCAGCCTTCAACGATCTTCAGATAACAAAAAGGGAGATAGTTTACAGATGAGAAGCCTGGTTCCAGCACATTACTGTTTCCTTTTCAGTACGAAATAGAAGTCAGCACTTGCTGAATGAAACTTCTCAGTTCACAATCTGATTACCTCACACTTTGCAGATGTCTGTCCAGAAACTGAGAATAGCAAGTGAGAGAGCAGAAGTAGCAAAGAATGGGAGCCTCTGTGCCCCCCATATTATCCACAAGAACAACTGTGTGCGCCACACTGTGCAGATTCATAGTCACTGTTGTTTGAATGAAGCAGGTCAAGCAAGCACGTCCACACTGACAAGTTTTTGACATGTCAAGATCATCACAAAGGTGACAAGGAAGAATGTGGCAACCGTATGGGATCCTACAAAAAAGAACATTTGTGAATAAAAATGACATCCTTATTAAATAAACTTACTTCCCTAAAATACTGGTAAAATGTACTACTGGGAACAAGAATGAGGGGCTTGGAAAAACTTGGAAATATTTTTAAATATAATACCACCTTCCTAACATCTGTTTCTCAACCAGTTTGAGTTGTGGTATAATGGTTGGATGTATGATTATGAGTCGGGACCCACCTTCAGCCAAAGAAGTTCACTGATGACCTTGGGCCAATAATTTTCTCAACCCAGTCTACCTCATAGGGTGGTTATTATGGGGACATAGGAGAATGGAGGGCACATGCCATGAGAAATAAATCTAATAAATAGTATGCAACACTTGCCTATTTTACTGGCCTAGGAATCTTTCTGTCTGAGAAAGATATAAATGTAGCTACGTTACTTAGAGCTGACTAATGAAGCCAAACAATGAAGCTGCCCTGAAGGACGGGGCAACATATAGCAAGAACAGCAACACCTGAAATTATGATAGCACATAAAAAGACATGGAGCTGCAACCTCGACAAAGCCCCCATTTGCAACATGGAGATGAACACAGGCCTATCCTGCCACTGCATTAGAGGCAAAATGATACAATTTGAGCACTTTCGGTGATGAAATGCAGTATGAGGCACTTGTACTGTGGGAGCCCACAGTACAGATTCTTTCTTCCCTAATGCTGAACATAAGACAAGGAAACCTTAGGGGAAATTGGCTTAAAACCGGAACAGGTGTCTACAGGATCACAGGCTTTTGGCAAAATGACAAAAGCAGCATTATCCCATATGCATCACCCCTTTCACACATGCAGGCAATATCATAAGGCACATACTGTAAAAAAAGGGGCAGGACTTGCACTTTGACAGCATGACACTACTCGTTATTTGCATCCTCTTGCCTTCCCCCTCTGAACCCAGATTTTTGAAGATCACCTCTTCAAAATGGTGTTAGATCCAGCCCATGAATTAAGATGAAATGAGCAAGCCCTGTTCATATTTCTACCCGTAGACACGGTCTGTAAGATGCCCACTAGAGCAAAGCTTTCTCAGTAATACTTCAGTTCTTCGAAGAAAAAGTCAGCCCATATACTGTTTACCTTCAAGTGACAGCTAGAGATGCATTTTTTCACTCAAGTATTTCACTATGTAAATCAAGTTCAAGACTAGACTATTATTAAAGGTATTATGCTTTTCAAGAAAACATTTACATTTTATTTTGTGTGTATCTGTAATATATATACAAACATACACAGAAAACCTGCACCCACGTATGCTGTCTTAAGATCTCAAAAAAAAAAAAAAAAGGTTGGATATAAATAAAATAAACAAAATAAATAAGATATAGTTTAGAATGCTATTCCAAAATGTAAATTTTTGGTTATTCATCTACATGTAGGTGACTCTTTGGTTATCAACTTTAGGGACTGCTACCCTTAATGGACATGGTTTAGAACAAAGTTCATTATCTTAATCTATTGAATCATCCATGAACTCTCAGTAAGGAAATTAAGAGTGTCCAGCTGAATACATTTAAGATTATACAGGAATTCTTTCTATCCGTTTCAAATTATCAGTCTTGGTTATTTCTTTCCTTGATTAAGTTAGATGTGCTCAGTGCCCCGTGATCATTACTAAAATAACTAAAGCCCAGTCACAACTACCAAGAACAAGCTCATTCTAGAGTGGCTAACATAGGATACTGCATTACAGTAAGTCAGATGTTTGGTTCTAATTTAGTAATATTAAACCATCCAACTCATTTTGGAATATTGGTTTTACTGATTGGTTGTTGTGAACAAATTTTATTAGGCAGAATTTTGTAATCAAGCTTTTCTTTTGATCTGAGTCTTGGTAAATCATGTTAATAAATACATATTATTTCCAAGATTCTCAAACTAATGTGGGTACCAGAGCACCAGGATAAGTCAAGATCTTGCTCTGAGACTCTATATGTAAAGTATGCACTTGCCTCCCTCTTGTGCAACTGAACCCATTCCATAGCCCTTTTGCAAACAGATGGTTTACATATAAGCGAATGAACACTTTACTATTTTCCTTTTAAAAAACTTCCCCATCATCCTTTTCATTATTCCTCATGCCATTTAAAATGTTAAACTAGGAACACCGGGAGAAACAATACATTTCTTGGAATTTAAACCAGATCCTGCCTCCTTTACCTGTAATTGATGGTTGCCCTTGCAGAATATTCTAGTAAAGTCAGTGGTATTTTTAACTGTATGTCAGGAACAAGTGGCTTGGGCTGCTCAAAAGGATTGCCAAATAAATCCAGGCTCTCAAGTGACAGTTTAGCAAATTCATTGGGCAAAAATGGGAGTTTATTACGAGCCACAGACAAGAAGCGGAGATGGCACAGTTGACCAATCTTGAACGGCAATCTAATCAGATTATTATCATCTAACTTCAAATGCATGAGTTTCTGCAAGTAGCAAAACTGTGCAGGCAGTGCTCTGATTTTATTCTGGCTGAGATCCAGAGACTGAAGTGACTTTTGGAGAGTGGAGTTACATAGAGCCACACTGAATGACTCCAACTGATTATCCTGCAGATTGAGCTCCTGAAGGCAAACAAGGTCCCCAATAGTTGCTGGCAGCTGCTTAATACAATTGTGGCTCAGGTCCAGTTTCCGGAGGCTTCTCAGGCAAAGCATACGCATATCTATATGAGCTAATTTGCAATAGGAGGCTTGGAGAAACTCCAGAGAGTACGGGAAATTCCGAGTTAAAGGATAATCCTTCTTTGATGTTATGGTCATCTTAGTCTTTGGTTTTTCAACTTCAGAGGCTTTTGGTGACACCAGCTTGGAAAGCGGTAAGGTTTCCTCTTTAGTTCCTTGATGAGCCAATTTCACTGCAGAAAGGAAAGTCCTCAGCTGACTGACATTTGCCTGCAGACAAAATGGTGCACAAAGATAAGCAACATACATAATTCACTTCGTTTTTTTGTGGAGGGGAAGTACATGATTTTCTAAATTGTGGCACAAATGCACTGGGGCATCAAGAAATTACTACCTTTTTTTGGAAAGCAACAGAGAAAACATGGCAGCTTTGTGCAGTATTATTTTGATCACAGTAATCAAATAGTATTGTCACAGTAGCCTGAAAAAACAAAATTGACCCCATAATTGAGAGGCAAAAACCCTTAAACAGCTATTGGTTAAAAAGGCACCATAGGACAAAGAACCCCCCCCAAAAAACATATATTCAAAGACATAGCAGTCACTGTTACAGCTTTTATTATAACTTGAATTGTTGATTGCTCTTAAGTACAATGATTAAAATTAAAACCTTTAAAACACATTAAAAAGTAGAATTGTTTTTATTATTTATATTTTACCTCATGGCAGATGAAAACAACAGCTAATATCACTACTAGTGAAAGGCATTATAGCCTTTAATCTGTTCACTATTTTTAGAACAGATATATAGATACGCATTACAGACTAGAAGTTCAAAAGCTGCCAACTGTTATTTCTTAAATTTGGAATGTTAGAAAATACATAATTGAACTTATTTTCCTGCTGTCTTCAAACTCCACTGTATACAAACTTCAATTTTGATTATTCTACTTGGAAATGTTTGAACATCTCTCCTCCACTCCCTGTCATCCTGTCCCCTCCAGTTCATATGGAACTGCCAAGGTACCACTCTTTAGTTTACCATAATTTGAAAGGCAAAAATTACGTGCACTTAGACTACCTGGCTCTAGGGTTGATTTCATACCTTGCTGAGACAAATATCCACAGCTGGTTCTTTTAGCCGTACAGTAGCTTTTCCTTCCTCCACGAACTTGGTAAAAAGCTGATCTATGTTCTCTCTCAACTGTTTTTAAAGAAACAAATTGTAGAACCATGAACAAGCAATCTATGCTGAATTTTAAAAGACAGTGTGTTCAGAGGATCAGATGCTGAGGCCAAGAAAAGAGGACAGTTTCACAACCCTCTTCATTATTCAAATGATTTTTCAACTGTCAGAAACAAGTCTAATAGCCAAATAAACCACCAGCCTGATTCAGCAAGACTAAACAATAACAATGCAATATCTGCAGGAGTCCCTGCATTAAATATTTTTAAATGTCCAAAATCTTGTAAATCAAATATTGCAAGATTTCAATAATCTTGTATCTTATTTGTATCTAAACTAGGGTTTTCAAACTGTGTTTGGCAGAACCCTAGATTTTTTAGAAAATTTGATGGGTTCTGTGAGAGATTAAGGGGAAAAATATAAAAAAAAAGTTCAAACACCCACAAGAGCCTATAGCAATTTTTCTATGGAAAAGCAATCACATGCCAATCACAGAATGATTTATTTGTTTAAAACATTAACATTCCAAGTGACTGTGAAATTCATTTTAATATTTGTACACTGTACATCCATTTTTGTGAAATTCAAGTAACTTAAATTTGCATAAATAAATTACAAGTACAAATTTGGTTTTGTTGCTAATTTTCTATCATTAAAGTTTTGCCTCTTGGTTAGGGTTTTGAAGTTTTTTTTTTTAATCTAACAAGTTCCACAGACTGAAAAATTTTGAATCTCCCTGATGTAAGCTTTTTGATCCTGATACTATTACATTTTTGAAACTCTACCTTCATTTAAAACTTTTTATCAGATGTGACTTAATCAATACATTACCCTTGGTGCAAATAAAAAAATTGGTACTTAAAATATTAATCCATTTGGGACTTCCAGTGAGAAATGGCCACGTGCTAGGCTTTCCTTTTCAAGCGGAGAGTCGTCTTCACAGACTGTTAGGCTCAGGCAGGCTTCCTGGAGCCTGAAGAATTCTCCAGATCCAAGGAGAATCCTAGAAATCTTCCCATACGACCTCCAGACAGCCTTTCACACCCAGAAGACCTCAAAATGGACATGTTTGGGACTGACTGTTGAGTGATCAGCTGGGAGGTGGGGTTACCATCAAGTTCCCAGCTGTGAAGAAGGGGGGGAAATGGACACTTGTGCTGACCTTCTCATTTCCAAAATCACCTTTTTTTGTTGTTGTTTTACTTCTATAGGGTTAAAGAGAGGCTTTCTTTAGTTACACTGTATTTTTTCCTTTTGGCTACTATAGGTGCTTCATGGAAAGATTTACTTTCTTTTTATTAGGATAAATAGTTTTGTATATTCAGCAAAAAAGGCAAAGGCTTGGACTTTTTATTAATTTTTAAGAAACAAGAGAGAGAATTCTTTTTATTATTTTTTCTCTGGCGAATCTGCGCTTGGGTTTTTGATATTGGAATGTGGATATGGGAACTGTGTGAACTCTGCTTTGTTTTTTTATTTAATTGGCCCTGATTGGAGAGGAATTTTAAACAAGATAAAGAGACTCTCTCCCTTTCACTATAAAATGTAATTTGTACTTTTGACACAAGAGCGCGCTATTGGCCATGGCTCTTAAGAGAGCAAACTGCAGGGATGAGTGTTTCAAGATTATCTTTCAAAACTTTGCAGAAAAAATAATTCAGTCACTGGAGAATAAATTTGATATTTTGAACAAGAAACTCGATGCTAAATTAAATGAGCCTGTTACTGATGTGAGGCAAATTGAACACAAGTTAGACGTTTTGGAGAATAATATGGATAAGAAAGATATGGAAGAAGAAAGAGAGATGGATATCTTACTGGATCTTAAAGAAAAATAATCTTATTTTGGACTTACAGTTACTTTGGATCAGCCTAACAATGATATTGTTTTGGATTTACAAAAAGAATGTTTTAAATCACTGAGAGACAAAGAGAATTTATTGAAATGGTTCCTGAAAGAAGAAGACAAGGAGAAAATAATATTCAACTTGTGGTGCACTGTTTGCTAGGTTTAAAGAATGAACTCTCTAAAAGTAAACAGAACTTGGATCAGCCTAATGGTAACACTATTTTGGGTCTACAAAAAGAAGGTCTTAAATTACTAAAAGATAAAGAGAATGTATTGAAGTTGCTCCTGAAAGAAGACGACAAGGAGAAAATAATAAAGACTTAATATGTGGAGTACTATCTGTTAGGATTAAAGAATGAACCTCTCAAAAGTAAACAGAAAGTGTATACAGTAAATCTGTTTGATTATGGGTAAAACATAGGCTGTGGTTTCTGATAGATTAATGGTAATTTTTTGGGACCAGAACTGCATGACAATGTGATTAAGATTATTGTTGCTTAATAGTGGTAAAAATGAATATAGGTTGTGACTCCTGATAGTTATTAGAGGGCTTTCTTGTTGATTAGGACTGAATGGGGAAGTTACTAGGACTATATAAGGGAATGTTGGGAAATACGAAAGTGCCTTCTATTATCTTCGGGAAGGGTATATGATAATACTAGTGAGATTTTTATATGCACATAGAGGACAAAAACAGATATTTAGGATTGGACATTAATGGTAGTGGTGGAGATGGTGACATAGTATACTGAATT